GGGGGAATGGAGAATTAACAATGAGTGGGGGAATGGAGAATTAACAATGAGTGGGGGAATGGAGAATTAACAATGAGTGCGGGAATGGAGAATTAACAATGAGTGGGGGAATGGAGAATTAACAATGAGTGGGGGAATGGAGAATTAACAATGAGTATAAGCCAGAAAAAAACGTTCTAAAGTTGATTGTGGTGATGATTGCACAATTTATTTTTTAATATGTTCAAATTATTGAATTGTATGATGTGTGAAGTATACATATATTAATAAAACTTAATATTTTGTAAAGAAAAAATGAAACATTGCTCTAACTACATGCATTGCTGAATGTCTGGTTAAATTAATTGGAATGATCCTTAAGGAAACACAGTTAATCTGCCTTTTGCCATGGCATATGCATTATTACACATTAAAAGGAAGCCAACATCTGCCATATAGGTTCTTCCCCTACCCTTTTCAACTGGTGGACACAGCCTGCTCACCCAAACACTCTGACCAGGTGACCAGACTCACCATCCAGTGGGGCCCATATGGAGTTTTCCCTATGTCTGACACCTAGTGTTACAAAGCTAGGCACCACATACCCTGGATTTCTGAGACACAATTCCCTAAAAATTATTACATTTGTCTATTCAAGGACAAAGATTAATCTTGTTATGTAACAGCTGTCTGGGTCAAGCCCACATTTTCCATGCCCATGATAATAATTTATAATATCTAACAAGTCCCTTGGGTACCACCAACATGGAAGATATCCTCAATCCCTTAAAACCCAGTTTCCTTGTTTGCTTCCTGTTGCTGTCATTTTCTGACCCCAACCTCCGTCATGTCTCATGTGATTCTTGTGGATAAACTCATAAGAGTTAAACAGTACCATATTATGAGGAGAGGATACCAGTTTTGTCTGAGCAGGTACTTACAGAATCTCTGTGAGCTGTATTATATTGTTCTAAATCATCCAATATGCTTTCGCTCAGAATGAGGGTAGTGATGAGGTTTTCAATACCAGGAGTATCTGAGTAAGTGGCCAATCTTATATTAATGGACCTGAATAAGAAATGAGGATTAATTTTGAAGTTAAAGTAATAAAACACATATTCTCCCTCCTCCCCCATTGGAGAATTGTAACATATCATACTTATATATTTCTTAAAGCCAAGGCTGGTGAGACTTCTCTCATGTACTTTGGACATATTGTCAGAAGAGACCAGTCCCTGGAAAAGGACATCGTGCTTGGTAAAGTACAGGGGCAACAAAGAAGAGCAATGCACTCGACAACATGGATTCACACAGTGGCTGCAACAATGGGCTCAAACATAAGAATAATTATGAAGTGTGTGGAAGACTGTTTTTTCTGTTTTACATAGGGTTGCTGTGAGTTAGAAACTACTCAACAGCACCTAACAAGAACAATATACTTATGTAAAAGAATATCAAGTAAAGTATTTTTACATAATATCAAGCTTTGATTCATCATTAGTTAATACATTCTAGAAAACCCATAAATGTATAAATAACAAAGTAAAAATGGATCCACTATTGACAAGACACAGCATAAAATTATACTTTAAATATATTTCATTTAAATTGTGTAGCACCATGGTTCATCTCATATTTATTTCATACATAGAGTCAAATTCTCCATATTTCAAAATTAGGTTGGTGTGTAGAAATTACCCTGAACTAGAGCTAGCATAAGTACCCCTGGTGGTATAGTGATTACATGCTGCTAACTAATAGACCAGCAATTCAAAACCACCAGCTGCTCTGTGGGAGAAAAATGCGACTTTATACTCCTATAAAAAGTTAAGTGTTG